AGTATTCAGGTTTAATTGCCATGTTGGCACTTTGCGATAAATAAGTGGGTTTTGGGTTGCAGCTTGGGCACTCGGTCTCTAAAAGGTTCACCATCACTGAACTAGGGCATAGTAAGAGATAACAGCACCATGTCCTACTAGACACAAATATTTCTTCTGATCACTAACTGTAAGCTTTCCAGTGCTGGGATTTTTCCTGCATGTTAGTAGGCAGGCAGCTCAAACAGAGCAAGTTTGTAAATGACCTGGAATTTAGCAGAATTTAAGGACCCTTTCATACAGGTGCTGGGACAGAATAGCATGGATATCACTTTTGTGACACGTCAGTGTTTAAAGTGGAGTTGAGCCTGAACCAAAAAAAATGGTAGGATTTTTATGATAGGAGGGATCCTATTGGTCTGTTCTGTCACAAGTCCTTCTCCCCGGCTGTTCAGGTACCCTGATCCACAGATGTACAGCTCAGCATACATTTACAGGGGGGGTGGGCAACTGCAGTCCTCCAGCTGTTGTGGAACTACATGTCCCAAGAGGCACTGCAAGACTGACAGTTACAAGCATGACTCTAGAACACAGGTTTCAAACACAAGGCCTGCAGGCCGAATCCGGCCCTCCAGGCTATTTCATGTGGCCCTTGCACCTCTCCTGCAGGTACCCCCTTGTCTCCGCCCACACCTTTTCTCAGCAGTCGGCAGTAGAGAAGAGAATAGAACTCTTCTGCCAAATCCTGCACCTCTCAGTTCAGCTGCAGCACCCCCTTGTCTCTGCCTCCCCTGGTCTCAGCACTCAGCAGAGTCTGGCAGCTGACTCCGCTCCTCCACTGGTCCTCCTCCAGACCCTGCACTTTCTGCTTTCCAGCTCTGTCCCCCAAAGGGGGTGCATGGTGATGTTAGGGAGGGTGTGGGATTGACATCTGATGTAATGGGGGGGGGTGGCTCTGGATATCTAGTCTTACAGATACAACTGGTCTTTTGAGGGCAACCATAATGCTGATACAGCCCACAATGAAATGGAGTCTGAAGCCCGTGCTCTAGAAGGAAGAGATATGATGAGACTTGTAGTACAGTGGTGGTTACCACGGTCTGCTACCACCTGGACCCGGTTTCTATCTCCCACACCACTTCTGGTGGACTCGCGTATCCGATATTGAGGCCTGTTTCATTTTATAAGCGCACTACTCATCTATACATGTGAGGGCATTACTGACAAAAGTGTTTCTAATGCTGCACTTAGAGGCGCCCCCCTTGTGCTTTCTATTGTTAATACAGAAGGGATCCATTCCAGTCTTCTTGGTGGAGTTGCCTACATGGTGCATAATCAATATATGGACTTTTTTAGTAGTTTGGACTTTATGGATGTAACGGAACCGGTACCTGACCACTCTTGGGTATATTCCGTTATACCGCAGCTTCTCCTGTCCGCACACCATCTACGGACCACACCCTTGAATTCCCTCAGGAAATAGACAGCACCCGACTTTTCTTAAAACAGGAAGGGAAACAACAACCTTTATTTTACACAAACAACGTGTTTTATACAGAGGGCGGGGAAATATAAACAGGAACAGGAAACACATCATCAGCCCGCCCCATCAGTGGGAGGGCTGCAGGAAATACCTCATCAGCCAGTCCCATCCAGCCAAGACAAAGAACAATGGGGCAGCACATGGCAAGAACAATAGACAGCCATGTGGCCGAGACAAAGGAATAACCACATGACAGTACAATACAGGAACACATGCATCCCATAATAGTTTGCTGGCCAGCATGACACAGAACAATGGGATGAAGCACATGGCATAGAACAATAGGCAACCACATGGCAAGGACAAAGGAACACACCAATACATAATATCAAGACAGTCACATGTACACACCCTGTACCCTAACAGGCACAGGGTCACTTAAACATAAGAATTTGGGAGGATGATACAAGGGCCCCCCCACACCCAAAAGTCCCTCCCGTCACAATGGACTTATATAATTGTTATTAATTTGGCTCCTATGTCCCATGTGGACCAGGGTTGCACCATATAATTTTATTGCTTGTAGTTTTGCAGCAGCTGGAGGGCCATAGTTGCCCACCCCTGATTTACAGCATGCCTTTGTGCAGTGATGACATGACTCCTGTGCGCATTCAATGGCGTGACATCATCACTGCCTGGCCATTTGATTGGCTGGTCTGTGATGACGTCACACAACACGTGTGCCCATTCTCTTCTGACCTCAACAAGGCATTTTCCGCCACACAACTGCCGCTCACTGGATATTTTCTCTTTTTCTGACTATTTTCTGTAAACTCTAGAGATGGTTGTGCGTGAAAATCCCAGTAGATCGGCAGTTTTTGAAATACTCAGACAAGGCTGTCTGCCACCAACAACCATGCCATGTTCATGTAGACTTCACCTCCGCAACATCTCCAAGATACGGCCATTTCTAACCTTGGAAACCACTAAGCAACTTATTCACTCCCTTGTTATCTCTCGCCTTGACTATTGTAACTCCCTCCTCATTGGCCGACCTCATCGCAGGCTATCCCCTCTTCAGTCTATAATGAATGCTGCTGCTAGACTCATCTACCTTACTAACCGTTCCATATCTGCCATCCATCTCTGCCAATCCCTGCACTGGCCTCCACTCAGGGTCCTCCACCTCTCTCTGCCAATCCTTCCACTGACCTCCATTCAGTGTCCTCCATCCCTCTCTGCCAATCCCTCCACTGACCTCGACTCAGTGTCCTCCACCCCTCTCTGCTAATCCCTGCACTGACCTCCACTCAGTGTCCTCCACCCCTCTCTGCTAATCCCTCCACTGGCCTCCACTCAGTGTCCTCCACCCCCTCTCTGCTAATCCCTCCACTGACCTCCACTCAGTGTCCTCCATCCCTCTCTGCCAATCCCTCCACTGGCTTCCCATTGCCCAACGGATAAAATTCAAAACATTAACAATCACATATAAAGCCATTTATAACTCCGCCCCAAATTACATCACCAATCTTGTCCCCAAATCACCTAAACCGTCCTCCCACTACCGACTCCTGCTCTCTAGCTCCCTTGTCTCCTCTTCCCACGCTCGTCTCCAGGACTTATCCAGAGCTTCCCCCATCCTCTGTAACTCTCTACCCCAATTTATCAGACTATCGCCTACTCTGCTCTCTTTTAGGCGATCTCTGAAAACCTATCTCTTCAGGGAAGCCTACCCCGCCCTCAGCTAATGCTGGAATCTTCTACTCCTCCTACCAGTCCATCCCCCACAGTTACTACCTTTTGTACCACTAGCCCCTCCCTCTTAGATTGTAAGCTCCAAGGATCAGGGCCCTCCTATCCCTCTTGTATTGAACTGTATTGTTGCTGTATTGTCTCCCATTATATTGTAAAGCGCTGAGCAATCTGTTGGCGCTATAAATCCTGTATAATAATAATAAGTCACTGAAATCCCCATTCTTCCCCATTCTGATGCTCAATTTGAACTTCAGCAAGTCATCTTCACCACGTCTAGATGCCTAAATGCATTGAGTCGGTGATTGGCTAATTAGCAATTTGTGTTACCAAGCAATTGAACAGGTGGACCTAATAAAGTGGCCAGCGAGTGTATATCCTGTTCTAGTATTGTTGCCTCGAGACGAGTCTTTCAGCCCAGTGTTGGAAAGAGGCTGCTTTCAGAAGACGTTCTTAGCGGCGGTGTCGGCTCCGGCTGATGAGTAGGGACGTCACGGCATTCTGTAGGATTAGAAAGCTGTCTTATCATGCCGGCAGATTTCTGTAAAGCTCATTTATTGACATAATATTACACATCCTTGGACGGTGATCATCTCTGTGTTCTTGCCGAGCCTCATCAGAGGCCTCAACAACCATGATAACAGCAACGCGGGCCGTCATACTAATGCAGGGGGAGATCTCAGCAGAGCGGGAGACATGGGCAGTGAAGCGTGACGGATACGCTGCAACTGAGCATCTCAAGCTGTTCCCGTGTTCTGCGCTATGATACCACGCCGGCGCTTTCTGCTTCCCATACACAATATTTCATCAGGCTGAACAGAAATCATTTCCCCATCTCTAATGACTGGCCTTTTCTTCTGTAGCTGGAGTAGTAAAACGGAACTCCCGGAACACATGAAAAAATACCACCAATCCAGTTGTATTATCAACGATAGAATGTATTATTATTATTATTATTATACAGGATTTATATGGCGCCAACAGTTTGCTCAGCGCTTTACAATATAACAAGAGACAATACAGTAACAATACAGTTCAATACAAGAGGGATAGGAGGGCCTGATCCTGGAAGCTTACAATCTAAGAGGGAGGGGCTAGTGGTACAAAAGGTAGTAACTGTGGGGGGATGGACTGGTAGGAGGAGTAGAAGATTCCATTATTAGCTGAGAGCAGGATAGGCTTCCCTGAAGAGATAGGTTTTCAGAGATCGCCTAAAAGAGAGCAGAGTAGGCGAAAGTCTGATAAATTGGGGTAGAGAGTTCTGGAGAAGTCGTGGAGATGAGCATGGGAGGAAGAGACAAGGGAGCCAGAGAGCAGGAGGTCATGGGAGGAGCGGAGAGGATGGTTTGGGTGATATACGGAGACAAGATCGGTGATGTAATTTGAGTTATAAATGGCTTTATATGTTATTAATAATGTTTTGAATTTTATCCGTTGGGCAATGGGAAGCCAGTGGAGGGATTGGCAGAGAGGGATGGAGGACACTGAGTGGAGGCCAGTGGAGGGATTGGCAGAGAGGGGTGGAGGACACTGAGTGGAGGTCAGTGGAGGGATTGGCAGAGAGGGGTGGAGGACACTGACTGGAGGCCAGTGGAGGGATTGGCAGAGAGGGGTGGAGGACACTGAGTGGAGGCCAGTGGAGGGATTGGCAGAGAGGGATGGAGGACACTGAGTGGAGGCCAGTGGAGGGATTGGCAAAGAGGGGTTGAGGACACTGAGTGGAGGCCAGTGGAGGGATTGGCAGAGAGGGGTGGAGGACACTGAGTGGAGGTCAGTGGAGGGATTGGCAGAGAGGGGTGGAGGACACTGAGTGGATGCCAGTGGAGGGATTGGCAGAGAAGGATGGAGGACATTGTGTGGAGGCCAGTGGAGGGATTTGCAGAGGGATGGAGGACACTGAGTGGAGGTCAGTGGAGGGATTGGCAGAGAGGGGTGGAGGACACTGAGTGGATGCCAGTGGAGGGATTGGCAGAGAAGGATGGAGGACATTGTGTGGAGGCCAGTGGAGGGATTTGCAGAGGGATGGAGGACACTGAGTAGAGGTCAGTGGAGGGATTGGCAGAGAGGGGTGGAGGACACTGAGTGGAGGTCAGTGGAAGGATTGGCAGAGGGGGGTGGCAGATACAGAACGGTTAGTAAGGTGGATGAGTCTGGCAGCAGCATTCATGATAGACTGAAGAGGGGATAGCCTGCGATGAGGTCGGCCAATGAGGAGGGAGTTACAATAGTCAAGGCGAGAGATAACAAGGGAGGGAATAAGTTGCTTAGTGGTTTCCCGAGGTTAGGAACGGCGTATCTTGGAGATGTTGCGGAGGTGAAGTCTACAAGATTTGGACAGTGATTGGATTTGGGGCTGAAACGACAGGTGGGAGTCTAGGATGACACCTAGTACCCTCGCATGAGGGGAGGGACTGATGATTGTATTATCGATCTTGATGGAGAAGTCAGGGGAGGGGGGCACGGGCTGGAGGGAATACTAAGAGCTCAGTTTTGGAAAGATTGAGTTTGAGGAAGTGGAGTGACATCCATGCCGATATGTCACTTAGTAGCTTAGTAATGCGAGAGAAGACTGAAGGGGTGAGGTGAGGGGTAGAAAGATAGATTTGTGTGTCATCAGCATAGGGATGGTACTTAAAGCCATGGGAGTTCATCAAGTGACCAAGGGAGGAGGTGTAGATGGAGAAGAGAAGGAGTCCAAGGATAGAACCTTGAGGGACTCCTACAGAGAGATGGAGTGAAGAAGAGGAGGCAGCATTATAGGTAACACTGAAGGAGCGCTGCGATAGGTAGGAGGAGAACCAGGAGAGAGCAGAGTCTCGGAGGCCAAGAGAGTGGAGTTTGTTGAGGAGGACAGGATGGTCAACTGTATCAAAAGCCACAGAGAGGTAAGAGTACGGAGTAGTGGCCATTGGTTGGGATGAGTACGGAGTAGTGGCCATTGGTTGGGATGAGCATGGAGTAGTGGCCATTGGTTTTAGCAGTTAGTAGATCATTAGTGAGTTTTAGTAGGGCAGTTCCAGTGGAGTGCAGTGAGCGAAAGCCAGACTGTAAAGGGTCGAGAAGGTTGTTGTCGGTGAGGTAGGAGCTCAGGCGATTGTAGACTAAGCGTTCTAGGAGTTGAGAGGTAAATGGCAGCAGGGAGATGGGTCTTAGGTTGTTCAGGTTGGTGGGGTCCAGGGAGGACTTTTTAAGTATGGGAGTGATGTGCGCGTGCTTCAGACGGGAGGGGAAGGCACCTGTAGAGAGGGAAGGATTGAAGATGTGAGTGAGGGAGCATAGAATGGAAGTAGAGGGTGACCGTAGTAGTTATGTGGGGACAGGATCCAGGGGGCAGGTAGTGAGACGGACTTCTGAAAAAACCTTAGTGACCTCTTCGGTAGTAGCAAGGTCAAAAGAGGAAAGTGTTGAGGGAGATTTAGTATAAGGTATGCTAAGTGGGATGGATGTCTGTGCAGTGGCAACTCCCGTACGAATTGCGTCAATCTTGTTTTTTGAAATGATTTGCAATCTCGTGAGCAGTGAGTGAGGTACTGGGTGGAGGTGGAGGTGGAGAAAGTAGAGAGTTAAAAGTAGAGAAAAGACAACGAGGACAGGATGACAAGGTATTAATAAGAGTGACAAAGTAGGCTTGTTTGGCAACATGAAGGGAAGAATTGTATGTTAAGAAAGCAGATTTATACTAGCAATACCCCACCTTGCCCACCCCTATTGTATTCTGCAGCCCCAGCCAACCCAGACACACTTATACCTCACCAGCAAACCCGGCCTTTCCTACCCCCATCATACCTTGCACCACCAGCCAACCCAGACCCACTTATACCTTACTAGCAATACCCTGCCTCGCCTACCCCTATCGTATTCTGCACCCCCCCAGTCCACCCAGACCCACTTATACCTTACCAGCAAACCCTGCCTCTCCTACCCCCCATTGCACCCTGCACCCCAGCCCACCCAGACCCACTTATACCTTACCAGCAAACCCTGCCTTTCCTACCCCCATTGTACCCTGCACCCCCAGCCAAACCAGACCCACTTATACCTTACCAGCAAACCCTGCCTCTCCTACCCCCATCGTACCCTGCACCCACAGCCAACCCAGACCTACTTATACCATATTAGCTATCGTACGCTTCTTCTATCCCCATCATACCCTGCATCCCCAGTCAACCCAAACCTACTTATATCTTACCAGCCATCCCCTGCCTCTCTTACCCCTATCATACCCTGCACCCCAAGCCAGCCCAGACCTACTTATACCTTACCAGCCATCCCCTGCCTCTCCTACCCCTATCATATCCTGCACCCCAAGCCAGCCCAGACCTACTTATATACCTTACCAGCCATCCCCTGCCTCTCCTACCCCTATCATATCTTGCACCCCCAGCCAACTTAGACCTACTTATACCTTACCAGCCATCCCCAGCCTCTCCTACCTCCATTGTACCCTGCATCCCCAGCCAATCCAAACCCACCAGAATCCCTAGTGTTGGTTGTGATTGGGCATTAGGGGGAGCAGTGACATCACTGATAGACCTGATTGCCGTCACATTGGAAGAGGCTGTATGCTTCACCATACCTGGAAGCACCTGGTAATTGTGCCAACCTTACCAGTGATCCCCTGTTTCTACTACTGCACTCCTTATAGTGGTGCTGGACTCTACAGGCAGCAGTTACATCACTGCTAGACCGGTCACATTGTAGATAGATGTTGCATGCTCCCCCATACACAACTAGTATTTCCAGTTGCTGAGGCAGTGAAGAGAGCAAGAAGGTCTAGCAAGGTGAACATCAGTGGTGCTCCATTATTGTCCAGTTTCAGGCTGGGGTTGGTCCTATGTCATCTGTTGCTCATGTATGTCGCATTAGTACCCGATTCAGAAGACTGAATGAACAGAATTGCCAATCCTATGGTAGGTGAAACAGTTCATATAAGTCTGCGTAATGGTCTCCCTCACCCTCCTGCTGACCCACCTTGCCAGTGACCCCATGCCAGGGGAGGACTGACAACTCATAGGCCCCCGGGCAATAGGGGATCATGGGGCCCCTGTGTCCTTGCCCACGCTCAAAAAATCCTATAAAAAAGGTACCAGGGGCATCTCATGGGGCCCCCTACTAACCCCGGGCCCTTGGGCAGTGCCCGAGCTCGAATGGTCAGTCCGCCCCTGCGCCATGCCTTTCCTCTGTCATTCCCTGCACCAGGATCCCTAGTGTTGGTGGTATGGGGCACTAGGTGGAGAAGTGACATCACTGCTAGACCTAGTTACTGTTGCATTAGAGGAGGTAAGCTGCAATATGTTACATTTTGGGTTTAATAGCCTTTTTTTCACCCTTCCTATGTATGGAAATCTACTTCATCATGGTAGTACAGAGAATACATGATGTGGCGCTGCTACAACTAATACTACCGAAAAGTGGAAGATACCGCATAAAAATAGAATAGAATATAAATAATTATATATAAGTGAATAAATCTAAACCTCCCAAGTGATACAAGGTGAAATATAACACAAGTAAAAAGGTGGTAAATTATTCCACACAAATGTGTGCGTACATAAACAGTGATACAGACCAGAAATGTCCAATGAAAGGACATAAGGACCAATGATGGGGCACTATTCCTCCCACTGACACCAATAATGAGGCATTATTACTCCCACTGACACCAATGATGGGGCACTATTCCTCCCACTGATACTAATGATGGGGCACTATTCCTCCCACTGATACCAATGATGGGGCGCTATTCCTCCACTGGCACCAATGATGGGGCACTATTCCTCCCACTGACACCAATGATGGGGCACTATTCCTCCCACTGACACCAATGATGGGGCGCTATTCCTCCCACTGACACCAATGATGGGGCACTATTCCTCCCACTGACACCAATGATGGGGCGCTATTCCTCCCACTGGCACCAATGATGGGGCACTATTTCCTCCCACTGATACCAATGATGGGGCGCTATTCCTCCCACTGGCACCAAATGATGGGGCACTATTCCTCCCACAGATACCAATGATGGGGCACTATTCCTCCCACAGATACCAATGATGGGGCACTATTCCTCCCACTGATACCAATGATGGGGCACTATTCCTCCCACTGATACCAATGATGGGGCACTATTCCTCATACTGATACCAATGATGGGGCACTATTCCTCCCCCACTGATACCAATGATGGGGCACTATTCCTCCCACTTACACCAATGATGGGGCACTATCCTCCCATACCAATGATGGGGCACTATTCCTCCCACTGATACCAATGATGGGGCACTATTCCTCCCACTGACACCAATGATGGGGCACTATTCCTCCCACTGACACCAAGATGGGGCACTATTCCTCCCACTGACACACCAATGATGGGGCACTATTCCTCTCACTGATACCAATGATGGGCACTATTCCTCCCACTGATACCAATGATGGGGCACTATTCCTCATACTGATACCAATGATGGGGCACTATTCCTCCCCCACTGATACCAATGATGGGCACTATTCCTCCCACTGACACCAATGATGGGGCACTATTCCTCCCACTGATACCAATGATGGGGCACTATTCCTCCCACTGACATCAATGATGGGGCACTATTCCTCCCACTGACACAATGATGGGGCACTATTCCTCCCACTGACACCAATGATGGGGCACTATTCCTCCCACTGACACCAATGATGGGGCACTATTCCTCCCACTGATACCAATGATGGGGCACTATTTCCTCCCACTGATACCAATGATGGGGCACTATTCCTCCCACTGACACAATGATGGGGCACTATTCCTCCCACTGACACCAATGATGGGGCACTATTCCTCTCACTGATACCAATGATGGGGCACTATTCCTCCCACTGATACCATGATGGAGCACTATTCCCCACTGACACCAATGATGGGGCACTATTCCTCCCACTGACACCAATGATGGGGCACTATTCCTCCCACTGACACAATGATGGGGCACTATTCCTCCCACTTACACCAATGATGGGGCACTATTCCTCCACTGACACCAATGATGGGGCACTATTCCTCCCACTGATACCAATGATGGGACACTATTCCTCCCACTGATTACCAATGATGGGGCACTAAAAAACTTTCCTCCCACTGATACCAATGATGGGGCACTATTCCCCCACTGACACCAATGATGGGACACTATTCCCCCCACTGATACCAATGATGGGGCACTATTCCTCCCCCTGACACCAATGATGGGGCAACTATTCCCCC